AATATTAGTTACAAAAATTCTTTGTTTACAATTCGGCTACTTTGATAACTTTTAGTCTATTGATTTGTGATGAGTCTAAAATTCGCCACATGTTGCTATATTATGCAATTGTCATTTTTTTGCTCATCAACAAAATCTAATTGGCCAAAACGGTTATTTAACTATTGCATTGATTGAACATCAAGACAAAAGTTGTGAATATTCAATCATGGGGAAGCAGTAAAATTCGTAGGTGTTGAGCTTTCAAGATTTATTTATAATCTCTTAGCTGAAGAAATTCTATTTTTATATAACGTTCTCTTGTCTTATATTATACTTATCTCATTATTCTAATAAGCTAAGAACAATCACAGTGTTTTTCAGAAAACAAATCATATCCAAGAATTGAAAATGTTCGAATGAAAAATACTCATGAACTGCTTCATTTAGCTTGCGAAACATTATTGAAGAATAAAATTGAAGGAAAAGAGCATAGTTTTCGGAATGAAAATTCTCTGTAACAGTTCAGACGCATTAGTATATTTCAAACTGGCGTGACCAAGTAGTCATAAGAGCTCTTGGTCGACTATTGTTCACCTACGCAATAGGCAAAATAGATCATCTACTATTTAAATAGTTATATCAAAAAGAAAGATATTGTTTAAAGTGAAATGTGTATTCACTTGTCAGCGTAGGTACGTTTCAGCAATAGACCTGTACATTATCAATCAAATTTAGTTGATAGTTTCGAAAATTTGTCAAAGGACTCTATTAAGAAACCTGAATCAGCATAAAATGTCAAATTGAGTTAAATTTTCTTGGATGAATACTTATTACAATAGAAATACACTGCAAACATGATCGAATGAAGATTTACATTTTTCGATAATACTATCTCAGTAGGAAGAGACATCAGCATTCTCTTCAGTAAGACTTAAAAATCCTGCTTTGCTGCATGACAAGCAGTCTTTCTCATAAAGTTCATCAAATTTCAACAGGACTTCAGTACAAAGCAGTAGACTTCTGTGTCTTCGTCCAACAGAATTTTGCAAAAATATATACACTTAATTTCAAAGAAAGTTTATGTTTAGGTGAATCAGTGCTACGTTCTTACCTTGTTAACTTTATTTCGCTAAGCGTATGTTTTTTAGAACAAAGCAAATATGAAACTATGACATAATTTGCTTCATCTGTTACAAGAAAAATTGTTCGGACAGTCATCAATACACAAAATTCTAGTATTCGATCAGACTACACTTCAAATCTCCTATGGAAATTCTTTCCAATGACAGCTTATTGTTGATACGAACACGTTCTTAATTTTTACTAAAGATAACTATTACGAAAAAAGACATCATTGCTATACAAACTAGGAATTTTGTTTGAAATAAACGTTCTCTCTGCTAGGCTTTCGCAAAAAAAACGGTAAAAAGAAAGCAGTTTTTACAATTTGAATTGATTCTAAATCATCACTGCAATAGAAGACATCAGGTCTTCTACTATGTCCTGATGTAGAAACTTTCCAGATGAGAATTTTTCTTTTGTGTCTAATTTATGTTCACAATTTTTAATTTAAAAGGTCTTTCACAAACCGAAACGGTTTTCAAGATTTAGGAAGACATTTTTAAGAGTTTTCAAGTCAATGCTCTGAAAACTAGGTATATTTTGATGTAAATATACTAGAGAATTAACGTTATAATTTTTGCGAGAAATTAATTAATGAAGACAGGAGAGTTGTTCTATTGTGTGTGATATGTCAAAGAGCAGCAACAATTCATATAGCTTCAAAAATTTTAATTCATACGTTTCTCTCTCTATGATGAATGTCATAGGCACGAATTTGAATGGTAGCCAAAACAGCAAGCTAATTAGCATTATTTTATGGGTTCTTCTAGAATTACACTAAATGCATACAAATTGAGGTTCAATTTAGTACATCTCTCTAGTTTTTCTTTACCACTTTTAGATATATACTAGCTAGTTCCTAAAAAGGAAAAACAAAGAACACAAAACTTACTCGACGTTGAATTGTTTCATACTGTTTAATTTTCTGTTCAAGTTCTTGAGCAAGTACATTATCGTTAAACGCATGAGCCTGTAATATTTTATTGCTATTTGATTTTTTTAATTTTGCATGTGTCTCAATTTCATTGAGTTCTTGTTGAAGAATTTCAAGACGAGATTTAAGTTGTGTATTAAGAAATGAAAGTGTTTCGATTTCTTGTACATTTCGTCTTAAATTTTGATCCTTTTTATTGATATCTTCCTTGAAAAACAAAACTTTAATAAATCAAATAATTAAACAAATAAAATATAAATTACTTGCAATTGTTGACTTTTATGTTGCTCATCAATAACAGCCTTTTTTAAAACTGTTACTTGTCCTCGAACTTTAGAAAATTCACTTGCTAATATTTGATATTTATCTTGTAAATCCATCTGAACATCTAAAACAAGAAGTTTAACATCTTTATGTTTTCATTCTCTATTTTTTTTCTCGATATTAACAAGAACGACATGACACAAAATTGACTATTCTATTAGATAAAATGAAGAAAAGAAAAGATTGATTTTTTATTATAATGTTAAACTTTGTAATGCTAATTCAGCAATAGGTAGAAGATCAGGAATAGTTTCGCGATATTTTTGTATAATTTGTTCACGTGCCCATTGAATTTGTTCAATAAATATATTATTGTTTTCATTTGAATTTTGTCCTTTAGAATTTGTTGATGTTGTTTTAATAGCAAGATTTGTTGATGTTAAAATAATTCCATATAAAGCACGAATATTTATTGGATTTATTTTTAATGCACTAAAATAATAAGTGCGTGCTTTATCATAATCACCTTGAGAATAACGAATAGATGCATAACGTTCATGATTTAAATGACTATGAGGATTTATTAAAAGAAGTTCTTCAGCACAAAATGCAGCCTTTGTAAAATCATGTTCAGATAAATAAAGATCGCATAATTCACTCCATGCTTCTTGATCAGCCTAAAAAATAAAATAGATAAATTAAAATTAAAATATTTTTTATTTTTTACTTGATAAAGTTCTAAATATGTATTTAATTCACTAATAGCTTCACGTATTTGATTTTGTTCTTTTAAAAGACTTATTTGTCTTTTGCGTACAATAGCATCTGTTTCATTATCTTCTAATAATGTTGAATATATATCTTCAGCTCTTTCAAATTCTCCAATCGATTCATAATACATTCCACTTAATGTTGTTACACGACGACTTGTTGTTTTAAATTGTTTTTGTAATTGTTCGAGACATTGATGAGCAATGGATTGTTTTGAACAATGTAAAGCTGATTTAAATACTTGTTCAAGTATTAACCATTTTTCATCACCTAATGATGATAAATTACGTGTAGATAAAACTTGTGTCCATAATTCAATTATTTCATCATAGGAACGATAATTTTCATCACGATATTTACGAAGTTTTTCAACAGCTGATTGCATTTTATTCTCTAATGATGAAGTTGGATCTTTTTTTTTATAAAAAGAAAAAGAAAAAGAAAACGACGATAGAATGAAACGAGAACCCTTTTTATCATCATCATCATCCAACACCTCAAAATTCGATTGGTTAACAACTGGAACCAACATGCTTTAGTCTTAGGTCTTATGTCAATAGGCAGAGCCATCTACTAGTTTTATGTTTTTCAGTCGAAAAAGTTGTGGTAATATTATAATATTGCTATCTGTAATATTCATCTGGTTTTTAAAACAGTTTTATTTCTTTAAATATATTTTGAAAGTGAAAGTGTCTTATAGATTTTATTATATTTTCAAAAGGATTTCTAAACGTAGAATGAATGTATCATATTGCTAAATAGAATGCGGATAAGTATTCTTTTTTTTCAAGGTCTTGAATTATGCGATAAAACATTCCAGTTTCAGTGCATATTAATTCATGATCGATGATTTAATAAGAGATAAGATGAAGATTAGCCAACTAATTAAAAATACCAAGCAATAAGTGAGAATGAATTTAACAAGCATAGTTGATCATCTCATTTTTTTATGCGTTTCTGCTCTTGTCAATACTTTTTCTTTGATTTTTCTTGTTTTCTTCAATTTGAGAAAAAAAAACTGATGAACCTTAAACAAAACAATTTTCTCTGAAGCTATTTTCAAAATCAATATGAGAAATAAAGATCAACAAAATAGTGGACGTCCTTCTCACATGTACCATCTCTTTGATTACATCGTTGATTTGAATTTAATTAAATTGACTTATAAAACAATTGTAATAATTGAAGAAGAACGTAGAAAACGTCTGATCAGACATAGTATCTATTTTTCTGGAAAGCAAATAGAAAAAACACTTCTTTCACCAATCTTTATTTGATGAAGGAGCTCATTTAGAGCAAAAATGAAAGTGAAAAGGAAGAATAATCTATTGATGCTGAAATTGACAGATAAGATATTAAATCTCTCTCTGTTATAGATGACCCCAGATCTTCTATTGCGTTCTTAGGTGTAAACTTCTCATTGAATTTTCTAGTCGGAAGACTTTTCGAAGTTTTTTTTGCTAGAAATTTATGAAAACAAAATTAAAATTCTTAATTTCATCATTTATCCTACTTTATTTTCGTTACATAATGATAATTTATATACCATATCTACATATACTAATTCCTTTTTCTACGTATTGAATAATTGCAAGTGACGAATGTCAAAAGCGAACACTTGCCGAGTTGTCTGAAGATATAATATTGGTATTTCTCATTAAAATGAGTTTTTGACTTTAATTTTCTTTAACCACATGTTTATTTTTTCGGAACAGGAATAAAGCAAGAGCTAAAACTTCAGCTTTATAACTTATCAAATGACATCTCTTATCTATAAGCTATTGATAATGGGACGAATAATATTCAGAGAAAGTTTTAATTAAAAAAACTAATCTTCGTGAGAGATACGTTCGATTCTGAAAGGTACATGATGAGATACATGTATTACAAGAAGAGTTAAAGGTACTTTCTAAGAAATTTCATCAGTTTAATTGCCGAGTACGCCGACATTTTTTAGCCAGGCGATTAGTTCATTGATATTGATTCGTTCATCATGACTATGATCGATTTCTTCAAATTCAGATGCTAGATGTCCGCTACCATTTAGAATACCTTCCTCAATAAGGTCTTGTATCATAGTAGTGAACTGAGATCGATCAAGACTCCCTGTATTAGTTTTATCATGTGAACGAAAAATTTCGACAACTCGACCAAGAAGACGTTCTTGCTGTTCGTTCGGCATTTTCAAATATTCGAAACGAGATGAAGTTTTCCACCATTTGGTGAATTCGTTGTAATCAATCTTTCCGCTGCCATCCTTATCGATTATTGTCAATGCCCAAGCTATTTCATTATCAGAAAGGTAATAGCCCAGATCATAGCATAGAAAACGAAGTTCATCACGAGAAATCGATCCTGAAACAAAGAAGTGTAAGCGAATATATGAAGCAAGACATGAAGATGAACATTTTACCATTGTTATCTACATCGTATTTCTTGAACATCAATTCAGATAGTGGTTTTGTTCCACCACCGAATGCAAAACCAGATGGGGGCAGAGGTGCATTTTTTCTCGTTTTTTCACTAGCTGCAGTCATCAATATACAAAAACGAGAACAAAATATATCAATAGCACGAAATTGAGATATAGTTTGAATTTTACTATTCTTTCGCTCTTCGCGACTGTATGCACGGTAGACAATTCCTACAATTTATTGGTTGGCCAAAATGATTGACTAGAAGGAATCGTCCAAACAATACAACATGCATGAACTCTGAAAAAGATCGATTTATTACCAAACTTAAAAAAAGGTTTAGTAAGTTGCTACAATCAAGAAAGGATCTTCTTCCAGATACACGGAAGGAACCTTTACCTCTGAACTTGTTTTAGATTCCGTATGCAAGAAAAAGGCTTTGTAGAAAAACTACAAAGCCTTCGGAGTTTAGTTGAAACTTCTGAAGGCTTTGTATTTGATCCTGAAGGTATTCTGTTGAATCTCCAACATTTTCTAATTGTTTTACAAAACTTTTCTGTTACCTACGGAACCTACAAATAGTTTTGAAGTACATGTTCTTCCAACGTATTCGGGGCAAGATTCTTTTTTGGTTTAGCAACTTGCTAAACCGTTTTTTTTAGTGTGGGTGCAGAAGTCATAACTCAGTTTAACAGAACGCGATACGTGATAGAAGTTTAGAGTAAATCCGTATAGTTGCGGATGCTTGTTTGGCTCTAATTGTAAGTGAAATTTATAGATAAAGGTGAAAAGAAGACTTGCATCTGTTAAATACCTGCTCTCAAAGTCTGCGAAAAAAGTAGTTGCAGAATGTCTACCAAGCAGAATGCAGAATTTTGTACATTTATGCATTTTTTTCTTTGCTAGTTGTTACTGAAATAAATAGTGAATAGTTATATAGAATTGTGTTTAAATATTTAACTTCAATAATCGTGATAGTTCACAAACACGGAAAAAAAGATCTGTTTCCTCTGATATTCCAGAATCTGCTTAGAATTGAAAACTATTAACACAATTTTTAGAGAATTCTATCTGCGATAAAGTATATGAAAGGTAAAAATTGGACCTCAGACTTTCGTTGTTGGTTTTGCTTATTCTCAATACAATTGAATGTGATCAAAGATGACGCATATGAAAAATGAATCTTGAGTATATATGTAACTATCAATGTAGGAGTTTATTAGAAAGTGTTTTTTTTTAATTCTCAATAAAGTTTAGTCTTTTCAAAGACAACACGCATAAGAGAGGAATATTGAACATTTTATTGTCAATATAGAGCTTCGTTGAAATTGGGATTACCTTGACAGCTAAGTAAACGAAACAGGCGGTGTTTAAACAGTGTGGTATGTCCCCCAACACGTATTTAAATTAGTTAAACATGTTTAGTTGTTTATGACGTTATCACCGTTTAAATCGATAAACTGTAAATATCTACGACTGTTTAAATGCAGTTGTCGGGATCAGAGATGTTGGTGGCTGATTTTTTTGACTCGACCCGCACACCCGACCTGTTCGAGACCGAACTCGACCCGCGGGCTACCCAACGAGTTGAAGATTTATCAACCCGACATGGGCTGCCCGCGGGCTAACCCATGGGTTAATGAAAACGTTACTACTATAGGTTTTACTTGAAAATTCATCAGTTCTTTTCACTGATGTATTCAGATTTTCATGTAATAGCGAAATTGAGGTTTTTATAATTAGAATATTATCTTTTATTTTTCATCATACGTATAAGTACTACAAAATTTCAGCTAAAATTCAAGACAAGAAGTAGTAAAGTAAAGGCTGTAGTATATGATTGTGGATAAAATATTAATATAACAGATGCTATTTGAGGTATTTTCGGTGTGATTCTTGTTCTCACCAGCATCGTATAATCGAAGCTAAAAAGAAATGTGTGTGCTTAGAGAATCATGCTAAAGTTCTGTAGTAGTTTTGAATTTGATATATCGCTGTAATAGAATATCGTATATCTGACTGTTTTTTGCTCGATTAAGTAAAGTGTAAACTACCTAGTGCGAAAAATTATGCAAGGACTTAGTTGAAATTTCTTTCAAAGATTAAATATATTTCGAAACAAAACATTTGGAAAAATTCTTTCGAAACTTTGGTCTTAACTTTTTTATCAAAATACTTTTTTTAAAGCTTTTCTCATTATCGCCTCTTCAACTTTTCAAGCACCATGTATATACATTGGTCCATTATAATAAAGGCGTTCATTTAGGGTTAAAATGATTGATCTAGCACATAAGAGAATAGATGACAGACGATGAGATTAAAAAAACTTCAATGTTTTCGCTTTGGAATTTACAAATTTAAAAAATGTATGGCTGACTATCTCACGTAAAAAATTTCTATTTTATTCCAAAAACTATCGTTTGTTAGAGAGCTCAATAGTCTTCTTTTCTCAGATTAAATTTATAGGTTCTGACAACCTATCTTTCGGAACAGACTTCATTTTTTTAAACTGTAATTGCCAAAAGTGGAAACATTGACATCGAAAGATATCGTAAAAGCGTTTATTTCGATCTTTGGAAAATAAATAGTATCTTTTTTGTACAGCAACAGTGCTATATATATATAACTTGTATAACTTACATTCAACAAATAGATATATAATCGATCTAAGTAATTCAATAATATCTTTTGCACTTTCAAAACAAACCTAGAAGAGTTTTCTGAAGCTTTTGGTTTTCAAATATTTCTGATCTTTGAAAAGAACATTTTAATCCAATTTTTCATGAATTTTCACACTTAATACTCTCTCTAAAAAAAAGTAAATCTGAACATCGTTCAATCATGGCACTAAATCAAATCTAAATCAGTACAGAACTCTCTCATCATTCGCATGTGTGGCTGGTTTAAAATAAATATATGAATGATTAGAACTACTATGGAATGAAAGGCATACATAGAATGAATCTAGATGTTGGATAATGAAAGAAATAATAAGAACAACTAGATCAGAGGAAGAGCGAAGAAATGAGAGGAATAGTGAAAAATTAACCTAAGTAAAAGGTAAAAATGAAAGATCAAAAGCATGAAATACAATATTTGCAAACGGGTTGAGCCTGCGGGTACACGAAAAACATAATCCGGCTCACGAAACCCGTAAAATCCAAAAAATACCTAACCCATAAACTCGTAACCCGTCCTAGGTCCAACCCACCCGCGTGCTACGAGTCAGATCGCGAGTCGGGCGGGTTGCAAGAAAACGGGTCAACCCACCAACATCTCTGATCGGAACATATCAAACAATTTTAACAGTTTGGATGCATGTGGTTGCAGCTACTGTGGGTCCTCTATTTAGCCACAACCACATACACACACCTCGATATAATTTTCTTTTAATAAACTCATAATTACAATTGCATCAAATGTTGGATCAAACCTAAATGAAAAAAATCCAATCGAGCCTTTTGATTATTAGTTATGACGATTAATCAAAAGATGTCAATAAAGATTCTTTGGAGCATGTCTGACGGTGACATATTGAAAAATCAAGCTAAACCTGCGTATTAATGGCTTATATCAAATTGAAAAAAGCCAAATCGATGAACAATTTTCTTAAAAGCTCAAAGAATAATTTTACAACATTGACCGAGCTGAATATTAATGTAATAGAAAGACTCAATAAAATGTATACTACAAGATGTATATGCATAGTGAATTTTACAACATATATCTGTAAACGAAAAGAGAATGTAGGATGCATAGGCAAATCAATAACCAAGTCAAACAATGAAAAAATAGTTTGGGCGTCTATTTCACACACTCAATATTAATACATGTTAACTACATAAGCAATGCGTACATCGAAAAGAGAAGTCTAATAAATGCTTTTGTGGTAACTGATAAACTATCGATATTTTTTACGGATGCCTTTGCGACTAATTGTTCTTATAAACTATAGTTATTAAAAATAATCGAAGAAAGACGTCAATTAACCACTGTTCATTGTCAATTTTCAGAAAAAAAGACATGGATACTCAACTGCTAAACAAGCCAGATATTCTACAAATAAATATGAAAAAGAGAATGAGCGAGTATATCAAAAAAAGAAAGAAAATAATTTTCTTTTTCGCTCTGTTATTTTACTGTGAATAGAAAAAGAAGAACGAAAGAGAAATTTAAAACGTAGTATAATATGTGGCAAAATATGCATGTGTATGTGTTACGAAAAACGGAGAAAGATGGAGATCAGGCCCGTACCCAGGATTTTTGGCATGCTGGATCTCAGTTTCAGAGAATGGGACCCCGATGAAACTTATGGAGGCTGATATTGGACCCAAATGATGAGTTTATACGAAACAATTTTTGCGATCGAAGTTTGCGAAAAAAAAAATTCTTTTTTTAGCCCCCCTGAAAAACTTTTTGCTTTTAGTAGTATTCCATTTTCAAGAGTTTGCTCGTAATCTACATCGAATTCCATCGATAGATTTAAAATGTCATCTAAAAATATGATCCGTTCAGAAGTTATAACGTTTTGAATTTTTACGAAAATTTTTGCGCAATTTTGCAAAAATTCAAAACGTTACAACGTTTGAACGGATACATATTTTTAGATGAAATTTTAAATCTGTCGGTGAAATTCGATGTAGATTACGATCAAACTCTTGAAAATGGAATACTACTAAAAGCAAAAAATTTTTTAGGCGGGCCAAAAAAAAAGGAATGTTTTTTTCGCAAACTCCGATCGCAAAAAATGTTTCATCTAGACTCATTATTTGGGTCCAATATCAGCCTCCATAAGTTTCATCTGGGTCCCATGCTCTGAAACTGAGATCCAGCATACCCAAAAATCCTGGGTACGGGCCTGACGGGGATACAGAGAAAGATGTATAGATAGAGATATAAATGAAATAGTAAAATTCTCGCATGTTTATTTTAAATAGTTATAATAATGAAAAAATAGAACAACTTAACTTTACCATCGATAATTTATTATTGAAATATGATG